ATTAAACTACATTATTAAATACAAAATACAATATGAATTTTGGCTTTAACCAACGTTTACATTACTGGAAATATATGAACATTAGCCATATTTAATGAAGTAATGCCTCATTTGCATATTTAAACTTAACGTATCATAAAACTGTATCTGTAGCATGTCTTATTATGGAAGAAAAAATATTGTGTTAATGTCAGTAATGAAGTGGGGGGGTTTATGGTGATATCTAGAAGTTGCATTGTGTATATTCACTTGCAGTGTCCCACTTTAACACATTAAACAAGGTTTGTTTTAAAGTCATGATATTTACACGTATGTTTCCATGTTGTATCTACATGTTTGTATCATGTCTCAACTCTAATCCATACAAAAACAGAAAGCACCAAGTAACCTTGGTTATTGTAGTTCATTGAGTTCATGATAGTAACGGTGGGACTTTGGTTTCCCGCCAACTGTTTTGCATTACTGTTACCATAGTGATATCCAAGTGTGAACCAATAGGAGCGTAGGAAACTGTGAGGGGGCGGGGCTTCTTCTTAAAACGACAGACAAGCGAAACAGAGAGCCGTTTCTATCACGTGATATTATGCTCTGTTTCATGATGTAATTATTATGTCAATAGTGTAGGAACAGTTAGATCATTTATTTCAGTAATAGTACTAATACTATACACTGGAAAATACTCTTATTGGCACTTCATTTAAAGTATTCAACAAGTGTCCTAAATGTAATAAGAGTAAAAACTACATATATTCTGTTTTAATAAAAAAAATGGAAAGAAAAAGCAGCAAATCTTCAAAATGTGAGGGTTTTCAAATATGTTATCCCAGAAATAACTAAAAAATGATATTCTGTATCGTTGTTTCAGGTGTGCTCGGGTTTCATGTTAAACATACTACATTACCACTTTATCTGTATCTGTACGATAGGTAGATGTAAGATTTAAAATAAATATAGGGAAGTTAAAAGTAGAATACCTCTGATCCTGATTGGCAGCCCTTCCTGTGTGACGGTAACATTGGTGTAATTAACATCTGCTTCATCTTCACCTGTAACACAAACAAGCTGAATTTAACTTTTAACTTGCAGTGACATCACTATGTAACACTCATGCTTCTATTGGCTAGCGCGCCAACACATTATACGTGAACATCAGCAGGAGAGGACTCTTTAAAGTAGAGACACTACATACTGATATACACCTGAACATCAGCAGGAGAGGACTCTTTAAAGTAGGGACACTACATACTGATATACACCTGAACATCAGCAGGAGAGGACTCTTTAAAGTAGAGACACTACATACTGATATACACCTGAACATCAGCAGGAGAGGACTCTTTAAAGTAGAGACACTACATACTGATATACACCTGAACATCAGCAGGAGGGGACTCTTTAAAGTAGAGACACTACATACTGATATACACCTGAACATCAGCAGGAGAGGACTCTTTAAAGTAGAGACACTACATACTGATATACACCTGAACATCAGCAGGAGAGGACTCTTTAAAGTAGAGACACTACATACTGATATACACCTGAACATCAGCAGGAGAGGACTCTTTAAAGTAGAGACAGTTAATACTTTTTTTTTGATGTATTTACTTCATAACCACGTTAAGGAGTTTCCCCGCAGTAAAGTTTTTGTGCAACCTCCTCATATCAAAGTAAAGCTGAAACGGAAGAATGCATAATGTTATTTTCTGGAGATGCAGGCCGACCTTTGTGGTTCCTCCAGAGGCCGAGCAGCATCAGAGAGCCCAGCGCGAGACACACACCAAACACAGGAAGTAAAACCAGAACAAGGGGGGGGGCAGGCGACTCCTGATGCACTGCTGCTAAACAGAAATACCACAGGTTGGCCTCATGCAGAAACTGAAAGTATACACCATTTCCGAGTGCTTTACAATAAATGTTTAGCAGGATAACAGAATAATTACTGGCCCGATATCCCTGACATTTTGTGTAAAGGTGTATCACAGGCCAAGGACAAGCACATTATAATTTGGAGTGGATTGAAATGAGGGGATCAGAGATAGTAGAAGATGTTTTCTGGACCTTTAAGGCTGATCTCACCTCTGACAGCCAGCCAACTGTCTGGTGATTGTCCACCATCAGAGATGATACACTTGTAGAGTCCTTCATCAGATTTAGAAACCCTGTGGATGGTGATGTTTCCTGAAGAGCTGCTACTGGTGAGGCGGCCATCTTTATAGAAGTCAGCTGAGAGGGTAGATGTCTGGTTTCTGCAGATCAGGGTCACAGATTCTCCCTCCATCACAGGAACAGCAGGACTCTCCAGGATCACAGAGCCACCTGAAGACAGAAACATGTGAAGTAACCAAACAAGAAAAACTAGAAGTTCAGTGTCCTATCCAAAGATTGTTTAATGGATTTAGCCACTGTGGCATCACCTGTTGGTTTGTGGATTCTGGTTTAAAGCATCCAGATTGGCGGTTTGGGCATTTCCAAGTTTTCAAGTGTTTTTTGACCATCATAATCTTTGTTTTTAACTGCTTTTGGCTGTTGCCTTCTTTGTCTTTGGCCATCCCCATTGTTGGTCTTTGGCCATCCCCATTGGGTGTCCACACCTTGGATTTCAATCATTTTTGGCCTTCTCGGTTTTGTGGTTGTTTTTGGTCGTCAACATCATGGTTTCGGCCATCATGGTTTTTGACGTTTGTGGACCTCATAATCTTTGTTTTTGGCGCCTATTGGCTGTCGCCGAATGTTTTTTTGCTGTTGCTATCCTAGTTTTTGGCCTTTGCCATTTGGGAGTCCCTATATTGGTTGAAATGGGTTTTGGCCGTCTCTGTCTTTGGCCATCAGCATCATGGTTTTTAGCCGTTGCCATCGTTGTTATTTCGGAACCAGAAGGTACACGAGAGGGCGAAAACAGAACTACAACTGAACGCTGAAGACAAATCTTACAATTAACTTTTATGAATTGAAAATGTTAAAGTTTTAAGACAAAAACATGTTCAACACTGTGTAAGCAACTTGTCCATCACAAGGTAGCTCCACCTTAAAGCAAACCCTGCTATAACAATAAGTTGCATGTCAGAAAACCACAGAAACAGCTTGTTAGCAGCACTTGAACGTTCCACCAATGCTGTTGAATTAGCATGTTCAAACTGTTGTTGTTGAAACCCACCGGACACAGTGATGTTGACGCTGTTGCTGCACCTTCCTGCCTCAGACTCACACCAGTAAACCCCAGAGTCAAGGCTGTAAAGGTCCCCAATAACACAGTGGTTGGGGTTTTTTCTGTCTGAGTAATTCGAACACTCTTCATTTGTGTTTCTAGATGTGTTCCTCTTCACTTTCCACTCAGAAGAGTTTCCCTCACAGCTAAAAGAGACAGACTCGTAATTAAAGAACTGGGACTTGTTGGGCTGGACTCTCAGAGTGGCTGCAAGGAAAGAAAAAATACATTTGAAAATTGTAATTGCACCTCACCAGAAAACTGTTTTGCAGAAAAACTAAATGTGTAGACGTTCGATAACCGTCCTCACAAGGTCTTTCTTTTTGTTTCACAACGGATCTTATTCGAGCAATAAGCGAGGCGTCAATGTGATCAGAAACAAACCTCTTAGCTGCGTTCACTGTCAGGGTCAATGTGAAGATAATTGTGTTTAGTACATTCTCTATTTATTACAACACAATTCCCTCTCGGTCTGAAATCAGCCAGATCTGCAGCTTCAGATTACATTGCATTTAGCTGCTTTCATGTTGGCCTGAAACCACAACAAGATAATCGTTTTGAAGACAGAGCTGCGTCTACACATCTCTGCTTTTAAGGTGATGCAAACATATGGAACCACATGAGGAAAGTGTGAAAAGTAGTTTATCAAAGCTACAGTGAGATAGAGCTGCGTAAAGATGAGGATGATTCACCTTTATTGGATAAAAGCATTTCTGTTGATTGCTGATCATTTTGAGTATTATTCGTTAGATTATTCCCTCTTTTAGTTTCCGCTGTGAAGATGCAACAGAACGTTTCATGAAGCGAGGATCACTTTTAAATAAGAAAGTAAATAACAACACTTAACGTAGATGTCATTCAAGATTCAAATATGCATACTTAAGACAAAGAAATAAATATATACAGTCATGCAAGCGACTTTACGCTGCTTGTAAAATGCATGAATTTAGTTATTTGTCGTATGTGTTTTGTGTATTTATTGAAAATATTCAATTGAATTGTTTTGACTTTATACAAGTAGATGTTTAAAATAGCTCTATATTTGCTCTTTTTGTACAGCTTAATTCCAAAGCAGATTCCTTGACACTCACTCTGATAATAAATAGAATAGATACTGTAATGATATATAGTCTACTCACCGAGCACCGTGCACAGTGTGGTGAGCTCCATGCTGACTGGCTGACTCTCATCATACAGTCACAGTATTATTGAGAGGCAGCAGCTTCCTGCTTCTCTCTCACCTCACATGTGTGAAATATGTCACAGCCTCCATTCTATCTGTAGTTGTGTTGCATTTATAGAAAAGAAGAACTACAGAAATGTTTATCTTCGCGAGAGGATAATCTGATTTTCAGCATTAACTTTATTATAAAACATCACATTGTAATATTCATATTTTCTCATTTTTACTGTTAAATAAAAAGGTATATTTTATCTTTTTTTCATTCTTAATATATATATATTTGTAATAATCTTTTGTTCGATTTTTTGTGGTAGGATTTAAGATATTGATTGTAATATAACTTTTTGTATCATGTTTATTGTTGTAGTGAAACCTGATTTAACGAAACCGATCATTGATTTCAAATTACATTGTTTAATTGTTGCTGTGTGACCATCGTAGTTGGTCTCCTTCTAGAAGAAAGAAAAAGGTCAAAGTATTATTAGTTATTTGATGTGATGATCAGCGAAACCCCAGAAAAGACTGTATTTCCCACCAGCCACAGGACAGGGAATTGTTTAGGTTTTTCACCATAGACTTTCCCCCCAAAAGGGCGGGACCATGACGTAGGGAGTGAAAGTACCCGGAGGTTCTGCTCTCAGCATGGCTCACTAACCCCATTCCAACCCGCCCCCTCCTACAGAGTGAACTCCAGGGTCCCTCAACAGTGTTAATAAATACTTCTGATGTTATAGCTCCTTAGTTTTTGAAACAGTCCCATACAACATATTTATAATTTATTATAATAAAATGGACCCGTTTTCTAGACTAGAGGTATATGATCCTAAGTAAAACAAATATGAGGTAACCATGAAGTTGTAACCATGACGCGAATGGAATGAACGTGTATGTTTACCATGCTAATAAAGCACCTTTGTTTTGTATTATAATTAGGGAGCGGTTTGGAACTGGGCCAAGGAAAGCAAGTGAAACCTGCAGGGCGGGGGAGCAGTGACGCTGATATAAAGACGTAGTGGAAACACATGCTTCATTCATTCATTCATTCATTGAGAGGAAGTGGAGCTACGTTCTACTTTGAGACTTTAAACAGAGAGGTTTTATGGTTCACTTCGGGGTTTTCGTGCTGGGCTTCTCTTTGGCTTTCTGGAGCTTCGCGGCAGCTCACAGAGAGGATAAAGGTAAGCTCCATTTATTGTTTCGCTTGTTATTCATTCAAACGGCTGTCAGAAGATAACTTTTAAAAACCACACAAACCGACATATATCGCTAAACTCCGGTCAAACAGCGTCTGTGAGTGGGGAACGGACAGTTACATGTTTTATAAGTTAATTTGTTATATCATTTAAAGTTTCTCTTATCGACTCTAACCGCTCCTCTTTCCTTTTAAAGGGACCCGCGTGGAAAAATATGTATGTGCGTGCAGACTTATCACGTTGTCATATTTTCATTATATCTCCGAATTTTGTTGATGTGATTTTATTTCTATGTTATTATGCTAACAGTAAATACATACCAAAATCTAGAATAAGTAAAAGTACTCACTCATTGGGAGTGGTACTGAAGTAAAAGTATTTAAGTATCTTCAGGAAAAAGTATAAAGAGTAAAAGTACTCATGGCAAAACTTATTGTTACCGGTTTAATGTACCTAAAAGCATCATCATAGACTATTTATTCTAGACTGATTTCAAGACTCAAGAGATCATGTCTTTCCTTGAGGGGGTGTTAACAATAATTAGACCCAGACCTGACGTAGTGTTTATTTTCAAACTTTGGAGCCCGTCCAACATGTTATCTGATAAGCAGGACGGTTAAACTGGCGGGAAGATCAGCCACTGAGCCACAGCCTCACAGTATGCCAACAAAACACAGTCCAGACTCAACTCATGCTATATCTTAGTTTTGTGACCAGAAATCAACCAAAAGTCAAATATGTATATCCTATATATATTTGTTTACATTTTTGTATATTTATATTTTGTTAAATATATATATATATATATATACACACAATCAACAGACACATTTGCACACATTAAGATGAAACACAACAATCAATATATAGATCATTTCTTTTTCTGAGGGGGTGTATGTAAACAATAATTAGACACAGATTGAATGTAGAGTTTTTTTTCAAATTTAAATCTTTGAAGCCCGTCCAACATGTTAGGGTTAGTTAAAGGTCACCTATTATTCAAAATCCACTTTCTCATGTCTTCTACATCAACATGTGTCCCCTCTTCTCCATGTCTCTTCTACATCAACATGTGTCCCCTCTTCTTCATGTCTCTTCTACATCAACATGTGTCCCCTCTTCTTCATGTCTCTTCTACATCAACATGTGTCCCCTCTTCTTCATGTCACTTATACATCAACATGTGTCCCCTCTTCTTCATGTCTCTTCTACATCAACATGTGTCCCCTCTTCTTCATGTCTCTTCTACATCAACATGTGTCCCCTCTTCTTCATGTCTCTTCTACATCAACATGTGTCCCCTCTTCTTCATGTCTCTTCTACATCAACATGTGTCCCCTCTTCTTCATGTCTCTTCTACATCAACATGTGTCCCCTCTTCTCCATGTCTCTTCTACATCAACATGTGTCCCCTCTTCTTCATGTCTCTTCTACATCAACTATGTCCCCTCTTCTTCATGTCTCTTCTACATCAACATGTGTCCCCTCTTCTTCATGTCTCTTCTACATCAAACATGTGTCCCCTCTTCTCCATGTCTCTTCTACATCAACATGTGTCCCCTCTTCTTCATGTCTCTTCTTCATCAACATGTGTCCCCTCTTCTTCATGTCTCTTCTACATCAACATGTGTCCCCTCTTCTTCATGTCTCTTCTACATCAACATGTGTCCCCTCTTCTTCATGTCTCTTCTACATCAACATGTGTCCCCTCTTCTTCATGTCTCTTCTACATCAACATGTGTCCCCTCTTCTTCATGTCTCTTCTACATCAACATGTGTCCCCTCTTCTCCATGTCTCTTCTACATCAACATGTGTCCCCTCTTCTTCATGTCTCTTCTACATCAACATATGTCCCCTCTTCTTCACGTCTCTTCTACATCAACATGTGTCCCCTCTTCTTCATGTCTCTTCTTCATCAACATGTGTCCCCTCTTCTTCATGTCTCTTCTACATCAACATGTGTCCCCTCTTCTTCATGTCTCTTCTACATCAACATGTGTCCCCTCTTCTCCATGTCTCTTCTACATCAACATGTGTCCCCTCTTCTTCATGTCTCTTCTACATCAACATGTGTCCCCTCGTCTTCACGTCTCTTCTACATCAACATGTGTCCCCTCTTCTTCATGTCTCTTCTACATCAACATGTGTCCCCTCGTCTTCACGTCTCTTCTACATCAACAAGTGTCCCCTCTTCTCCATGTCTCTTCTACATCAACATGTGTCCCTCTTCTCCATGTCTCTTCTACACAGGGACGCCCCTGGCCAACTTGGGGCCCCAAGCGACATTGTGAGATGAGGCCCCCCCCCCCCCAACCGACAGTTGTTTTTGGAAACAAAGTAGGCTACTTTGCAAATATAATTCCTGTTTATTATTATTATCAACACAGTTACTCTTTTATACAGTGAGGTAAATGGTAAATGTGCATGTATGTCGTTCAGTATGCGTTTACAGGTACGTCTGCATTTCCTGCCAAATACTAGCCTCAAAAAGATTAAAATATAATTAATGCAAATAAACTACTTCTACTAATAATAATAATAATCATCAATTCAATAATATAAATATATTATTTTATTATAATATAGTTGTAATATAGTCAAGACAAAACATGCTTATGACATGCTCAAAAACTGATATTTCTTAAATCTGTATTGTAGTTCCCTCTGTCAGCAATGTGTCAACAACTACACACACATTCCTATCAGTATTTCTCTGTGTTGTGGTTGACATGATGATGACTGTTAGGGGTTAAGGGGAGAGGCTGAGCGTCACCATGATGATGACTGTTAGGAGTAAAAGTTTACTTTTTATTCATGTACTTTTTATTCATGTATTTTTTTCTTTTGATGTTTCTTTCATTATCTTTTACTGTTTTTAAATGCCTTTGTCTGAATGTCTTTCATTTTTGTAAAGCACCTTGAATTGCCTTGTGTTGAAAGGTGCTGTATAAATAAACTTGCCTTGCCTTGCCTTAAGGAGAGAGGCTGAGCGTCACCATGAAATGTGCAAATAGACATAAAAATGAATAAAAGGGGGAAAAATGCTCCATGTGTTTTAGGCTGTAAACTTTAACTGTTATGTAAGCCAACTAGACAGACAGTGTATCTCTCTTCCTCCTGTACATTTGCAGATAAAAGGCATAACATACTTGAATGAATGTTAAATAAAGAATGCTGGAAATTAGGGCTGTGCAATTAATCGTATTTTAATCGCGATTACGATTATGGCTTGCGACGATTATGAAAACAGCATAATTGACAAAATACGATTATTTTGCTGGGTGTGCTTCACCCCTCCCTAAAAGCCCACTCGGCCACGTAGGAGTGATATGTGTTGTGAGTGTTCAGCGCAAGCGCAGATGTCAGAACAAAAGCAGAAACTCGTTAAAAAGAAGGGAACAACTATTTCCACTATTTGGAAGTACTTTGGCTTTCAGGAGTCCGACGTGGAGCAAAACAAAGTAGGCCTACAGTGCAGGATTTGTTACCAGGTTGTGTTGGCACCACACGCTAACACAACCAATCTCTTTAATCATCTGAAATACAACCACAAAGTGCAATACGACCGGGCAGTAATACAACAAAAATCAGATGCCCGCTCGACTTCATCCACCACATCATCACAGTCATCGATTCAGGACGCATTGTACAGAGCAACGGCCTACGCGACGAGCTCGCAGAGACACAGAGATATTACAGGTGCCATTACATTTCACATCGCTAAAGATATGTGCCCAGTTAGCACCGTTAGCAACCAGGGCTTTAAGCAACTTGTCAACACGTTGGACAAGCGTTACGCGATTCCGTCTCGGTATTATTTCAGCAGGTATTATGTGACAAATGCCGTGGGGAAGTTGAGAGAGATGTGGCTTCAGCTGACTACTTTGCCACCACAACGGACCTATGGTCTAGCCCAGGGGTGCCCAACCAGTCGATCGCGAGATGTGTCTAAAAATAGAACAACAATATTCTGTTTTATCGTTAATGTCCTGTGACCAGGGGCGTTGCCTGGACCTGGAAACATTCGGGGCTTAGCCCACAGTGGCGGCGCTACAGTCGAATTTTCTACTGCAAGACTCCCCACACGCACATACATAATTGCGCCATCTGGTGTCACAAACGTGTATCTGCATTAGCTTTGTTACGGCAATGGACTGTGGGAGATTCTCATAGCACGTGAGGATCTCTTGAGGGTAAGGTGCCTGTATTATCTCGGGGGACAAAATGTATGTTTTTATTTTATAAGGACAATAACGTACTGTTGTGTTTGTTTAGTTTAATGTTAATTGTTTAATGCTCACAGTCACAGCAACATGTTTTTGTGTGATTGGTTTTATATGATTTATCAACGTGATCATCAATAGCTAATCTGAGCACCAGAACCCAGCTCACGTGTCCTTTTATGCTGTCCATTGAAATGCAGGAAAGTAATCACCAGCTCTGAGTGATCTGTTGCCGAGGGAACACTACACCGGAGTTACATAAGCAGAGATAAAGTGCTATTTTGAGGGAACTCACCTCCTCTGGAGTCCAGGGGGAAGAATTTTTTTAAATGTTGAAGTTAAAAGCATCAATCTTGTGCACTTTGAGAGCAACATTAAGAGATATGGATACATCTCTCAACACCCATATGTCAACAAAAATCAAAGAATCAGAATCAGAAACGGGTTTATTATTTAAAAACACTTTATTTTCCAATTAAATCATAAACTATGTCAAATGATTAGAAGTTGTTAGTAATCAGATTAAACAGAAAAAAGGGATGGAAGGAGGAAATAATAATCCCTCATCACTTGCTGTTTGCGGTTGAAATGATCTCTTTTGCTGGCCAAACATGCTGGATGGAAAGCCGTGATGTCTCACTTGCCTTGGCCCTGTATCTGCAGTCCCTAAATCAGTCATGTTACTCATTGACTCTTGTCTGTTCTGGTGTTCCTGTTCATTGTTGTCTCCATTGTCATTCTTGTCTGTTGTATCTCCTTCTTGTGTGTCCCTTTCTCCTGTTCTCCTTTCTTCATCCTCTACTCTGTTTGGCTCATCTGTGATGACTGTGGGTAAACACAAACAAGTATGTAAGTCAATCAGTTTCCAGCTCTGTCAAATAAATGAATTTCAAGATACACAAATTTGTCTTCATTAAAATGAGTGTCACCACACTGTCACAAAATGTAATACTAACCAATTGAAAATAGTTAAATGTACATCTCTTGTAGATATCACTGTTAGAGTAGTTATCTGCCAATAGGACATAATCATTCCTATACAAATGCAGTTTGAGTAATTCACTTAATATATTCACTTCATACTTTAATATATTCATTTTCACTTGATACTCTAATATAGTCATCTTTCTGCATTCAACACTAAGGAAAGCTGTACAATTTGACATGATAATGAGGAAAAAAGGCCTCCGACAATGCAGATCATTTTGTGATCATATCCATTTTAAGATGGGGGTCAAGGCTTAATATTTGGGAGCATAGTGTCCCTTGCCCCCTTTCAGGAGCCCCACTTGATTAGCTTTTATCTGAAAGCTTGTTAGCTGGCTGTCCATCTCATAATGTACACATAGAAACTAGCTGTCAATAGGAATATCAATCAGAAGAATTATAATTTCATGCAAAAATCTGTCACAAAAAGAGGTTGCACATTTAAATTCAGGTGTTGTTATGGCAACGTCAGTGGCCAGACAGCCACATTTACTGCTGCAAATACGTTCAAACATGCTGTTGACACGTAAAGCAGTGGCAACTATGCCACCGTTTCAGCTGACTTTTTCTCAGAATTACTGTCACATAACATCCATATATATTTCAGTGCTAGGTTGATGCTTAGCTAAGCTAACTATTAAACACTTTAACTGACAGGAATCAGGATCAACTGTGTAATGTAAGGTAGCTTCTAGCTTCATGTCGAACACTGACAGTAAGTCAACATTTCCCAGAGAGCTTTCTTTGAAATCACCAGGTAACGCTAAAAAACACAACATTTAGATTTGATGACAAAGTGTTTATTTAATATATCTGGCTAGCTATAGCTACTTGCTAACGGTTTAGCTTACCCCCGCGATTCAAAGTAACGTCAACGTAGCTATAATTTATGCTTTGCTTACATGTTGACATAACTTGTAAGTTTACTGACATTTACATATCTTGTTCACCTGGCTCAGGTGGTGGCTCTGGGGTTGTTGTGTGAGCCACCACTTGAGAATTGCTGTCTTTTTTATTTAAAAAATGTCTAATGTCCATCTTCAGAAACTCCGCGTCCGCGGCTGAAAGTTTAAAGTTTAAACACTGTCACAGAGGAGAGGTCAGCCAATAAAACACGTTTATTTCCATGCAACTCTCGGATTGGTCTGGTGGTTGCCTCTGTTGCATTCACTGAACACGGGAAATTACAATTCTGCCATCCTCTAGGTAAAGTACGGTTAATGTATTATATTATTGAGGGAGAATTTGTATCCGGGGCTAAAGCCCCGGATGCCTACCCCAGGCGACGCCCATGCCTGTGACATAATCTTCCTGTGCCAGAATAATGCACTTGAATGCATCAAAGCTTTGTGATTGGCCGGCATCACCCCATGTGTCGGGGCGTGGCTGAGGGTCTTCAGTACAGGTGGCAATATCGTCATCTGCCTGCGCTCATCTCTGAAACCAGACCATGTAAACAGGCTGGTGTTTCTTGCGAACAATCTTTAAGAGATGACATGAGCAGCCCTACCAGCTTTTGCCATGGTGGCCTAAACATTTTTATTTGGTCTTAAATTGTAGTTCAACATTTATTTCCTGTTACTTCTGGACCATGACGGTTGGCCAGCCTTCAACGTTTAACTGAGTGGAATATGTTGAATATGTTTTACCAACATGTTGGCTATATGTTAAGGAGTTTTCAGTAGGTTGTGACAGTGCACTGTAACATGTTTGATTTCATTTATTTTGGTCTAATTTATTTTTATTTATCATATTAATAATATATGTTTAGTATGGTTTTGGAAGTGTGCTCCAACACATTTGTTGATCTTGTTTATTGGTAAAATATTATTTGTTTTAAAGTTCAATAAATGGTCAATGAATAATCGTCAAAATAATCGTGATATCAATTATTGACCAAATAATCGTGATTATGATTTTTGCCATAATCGCACAGCCCTACTGGAAATAACTGCAACTCCATTAGCCTGTATGCTCTGCAGAGACTGCCTTCTTCATGTCCTGAATTGCAGCTGATGTTTTAAGGCGAGACACCCCAGGTGAATAGGGTAATTTTTTTAACTTAAAAGTATCAGCTAAAAATGTCTCCAGTTAATTACTTACAATAAGGCAATTGTTTTTTGTATTACAAGTTTTCTGAAATAGCATGTTTAAATATGCAAATTATCCATTATCTCATTAAATATGCACATATTTTAACACATTTCAGGAATCGAAATCTGAACTTTGGATATAGCCAGATTCAAAACTCTTGTTTCATTTTGTAGTCATATTAGTATCTAAGGCTTTTACAGAAGGGATATTGGATATCTCTTTTTATCATTCCATAAATCAGAAAATACTGTCAACAGCCCTAAAATATCCATTTTCGCCATGTTTTTAGGTATACAATGTTGTATAATTCAGGCTATGAATGATATATGAAGAAACCCTTCTGTAAAAGCCTTCATAATATTGATAGGAATATAACTGGAAGGTTTGGTGTATGTAAGTGCTACTGAAGTTGAAATTTCGAACTCAGAGTAGGAGAAAAAACTCATTTTGAGAAAAGGACCTTTAAAGATTGCAGTGAGGCGCTAGCTAAACCCTCCTGTTCTTTGGATGACAGCTTGCGCCTCGACGCACTCCGTGAAGGTATTTCATGTTCGGAGTCATTTGTGTTTTGTATAACCTTGCTTCGTGCAAGTGACAATTGTTGTCGTCTTCTCTGTGAATGTTTTTTTCCCCGTTCTTTTGCTATTTTGATATTTCAATTTCTAGCGGAAAGCTAACCAGGAAGTGTTTTAGCACACCACGTGACGCATCTGAACGAATCACGTTGTCAGAAATTTACACCAGCCAATGAGATTTTGTTTCTTGGTTTAAGACCCCTTTGTGCTTTCACGATTGGTTGCTGATACAAAGGAAATGACCATATTTGGATCCGATGAGATTGTTCCTCCATCCAAGCCCCCTCCTCCCCCCCGGATGTTAGATGGCGGTCTGATCTACGACGTCAACAAACTGGGAGGAAGAGATGAGAGATGAGGCTGCTGTATGTTTTGTAATGTGTGACATTTGACCCCTGATGTGTGTTAGTGTTAAGATGGACTTTTATTAATCCCTCGTGGGGAAATTGTTTCTCTGCATTTGACCCATCCTAGTGTTAGGAGCAGTGTGCTGCCATTTGGAACGGCGCCCGTGGAAGCAGTGTAGGGCGATGGTGCCTTGCTCAGGGACACCTCGGTAGTGTCCTCTCACATGAAGAAGATGATCATCATCCTGCTGCTCCTCTTCCTCGCCTCCTGTGTCTCTGGTTAGTTTACTCCTTTATTTCCCACTCGGACCAAATACAAAAATGTTTATACAGTTGCATGTTTATGGAAGAGGTTTAGGGATAAGAGGAAACAACATTTTTTATTTAATTTGCATTTCTTAAACAAAGAAACACTTTTAGTATTTGTACAAACGCTAGTAGTCTTAATTTATTGTAAAAATAAAACATCAACCTTTTTATAAGTTATGCACGGCTCTTGTGTTCCTTTGCTTCCAGCCCTGAAGCATTTTATATATGTGAATGTGACTCAGACGTCCTATCAGGCAGAGGAGAACCAGAACATCACCCTGGAGTGGACCTTCAGCACCAGAAGAGACACTTCACTCAGATCCATTTCTACCTTCTGTTACCTTTATACTGAGGACCGAACCTCAGTCCTGTTTCATCTAAATGAAGGAGTTGAATCCCCAGAGTCTCAGGATCCTCAGTTTGCAGGACGACTCCAGTGGGACAAAGACGTCCTCACAGAAGGACGCCTCACACTTCATGTCTCCAGACTCAGGACCAGTGACTCTGGATTTTATCAGTGTGACATACTCGTCATACCTGATGGGAGTAACTCGAACAGATGCTCCCTCAACGTCACTGGTGAGTCGGCTCTGCAAATATTTGTTATTAAGTTGAAGTTGGGAGTTTGGAACGAACCAGAGACTCCAAACACAGGAAGTCGGGGACGGATTGGCCTCTACTTCACACTGGGACATTGAGATGTTTGTTATGGTACCGCTGTACTATTTTTGCTGCTTCTTCTGAATATTGTTCCGTAAATAATTACATATGTTTTTTGTAGAAGCAAAACCCAACAGCACATTGAAGACAGAATTACAAACTCCAGATCCAAACCAAGAGACGGATGTTAAAGGTGAGGAAAATAACTAAGTCTTAAAGGTCCCATGACATGGCCATTTCTACTGATCATAGCTCCATTGTTGAGTCGACTAGAATAGATTTATACTGTTCAATGTTCCAAACTCACATTGGTTTCTCACAGCATCTCTGTAGAGTCTGTGTATTCACTCTCTGTCCTACACGGCTTGTTGGAGCTCCTGCCCCCCCCCCCCTATGAGCCCACTGTGCTCTGATGTGTGCTGTTACACTGTCCGCCCTTTGAGGCTCGAGGGGCCGACTGTGTGTGTGTGTGTGGTGTGTGGTGTGTGGTGTGTGTGTGTGTGTGTGTGGTGTGTGTGTGTGTTGTGTGTGTGTGTGTGTGTGTGTGTGTGTGTGTGTGTGTGTGTGTGTGTGTGTGTGTGTGTGTGGTGTGTGTGTGTGTGGTGTGTGTGTGTGTGTGTGTGTGTGTGTGTGTGTGTGTGTGTGTGTGTGTGTGTGTGTGTGTGTGTGTGTGTGTGTGTGTGTGTGTGTGTGTGTGTGTGTGTGTGTGTGTGTGTGTGTGTACGTACTGAATATCTCTCTGTTTTCCTTGTCTCCACATCAGTTGGTCAGCCTCCACTGCGGGCCCTGGTTCTCTCCGTCTGCATCGTACTCGTCATGGTAGTTGTTGGGTTTGGAGTTACACACTTCCTTTTAAAACGATGTGTACGTGAGAAGGAAACCAAAGTTGTATCATTTGATGAAACCAATTCCTGCTTCGCTGCTCAAAGTGGATTTGAAGAAGGAATCTAGAAGACAGGTTTGTGGAAAGAAGAACATCCTGTTAGAGGAACTTTAAATCTCTGGACAGACGATCAGTCACTACATTAGAGGACATTGACTTCATGGCAGCGCTGCTCTAAGTGTGTTTAACTTTAGTCCACTGACAAAAGGAATGATATTTGTGAAGATTTTCTTTTGCACTCAAACCTTTATGTCCGTCGTCCTCTTCTTGCCTGAAGGAGTGTACCTTTACAATTATACATGTTTGTTTACTATATTGTCCCACAGATGCCTGTTGCACTGAATGATTGTGGGTTCAAACTTCCTCGTCTAACAAGTTTTTGCACTTAAATGAAACTAAGTTAAATCAGGTTGCACCTCACATCAACAAGTGACACTGACTTTTATCCACCCCATAATAACACTATGCATTACGTTAATACACATCATGCTCAGTTTTAAATGTTTAAATCCTGCACATCATGCTACCTCTTTGAAAGCAGCACAACTGTCCACTTTAATGCAGTATATTGTCATATTTTACTGCATTCAGTTTCCCACATTATTATAGTTTGTGTAAATATTGTCTTTAATTATTTCTGGTTACGTGTTCTTCTTTCTGTCTTTGAATGCAGCATTTACACCAAAGCTAATTCTCAGTGACGTGCGGTGAGGTTCATGGCTGGTGAGGCACGGACTCTTTCAGAGTCACATTTACAAATATTATATTCTGACCTTAATCGAAATATTCTGTTATTTTCAAAAGCTTTTTTAGTCTGATGTTTCGATTCATTTCAAACAGACCGTTCAACAAAAGGATACCCAACATCTAAATATTGGATTGTTCTTTCTTAGTAAGAACCCATTTTCATTACAATTGTGGTCTCACCTTGACTTGAAGATGAAGTCCATGCTCTCCTTCTGGACAACAATCTCTATTACTTTTTTGTAAAAGTCCTCCTTATCTTCCTCTAGTTTCAAAAGTCTAGCTTGTTGTTTGCGTCTGGTCTACCGTCCCTGCGTATAATAACAGTAGCAACAAGGACCTGTGGGCTCACGTGCGCCCCCTTCAGTGCGGCAGAGGTTATGGCTGCCTCTCCTGGTGCTTTTTTCATTGCCGTTGTACGATGAGACCAGCGGGCCTAAATATCATATATACGTGAAATAAGTTATTTAGAGACTATGGATGGCGAGGATAAATGTAATAAAGGGATCTACAAACATTACATTGGTGACATACAGTGAGATGGTGCAGGCATGCGCTTAGGGCCCACTTTCCAGCCAGTTTCTGTGAGGTGACGCATTCTGAGGTGAGGCAGATCTCATCTGTGCCTCACCTCACCCCACAGTAACTGGCTTGAGCGCGCTCACAAAATAAGTGCCCGCGCTAAATTAGTGCCCGCGCTCCAGCCAGTTACTTTGGGCTTACGAGAGGCAGAGCTCGTCCCTGCCTCACTCCTCATCGCTCCCATGTAGTTGTAGCGGAGCTCGGCAAATTTGCTGATTTTGACTATAAAAAGCGATTGGAATCAAACATAAATCACACTTACAACACAGATCAGTGGAGACATTTTATTATTATTACTATTTAGTTTTTCTTTAGTTGTTTTTCCGTTACATTGGAGTATGACAGGTGAGGCTCTCCCCTGACTGCCCTGACTGCACGTCGCTGTTCGTTAGATTATTCCCTCTTTTAGTTTCCGCTGTGAAGATGCAACAGAACGTTTCATGAAGCGAGGATCACTTTTAAATAAGAAAGTAAATAACAACACTTAACGTAGATGTCATTCAAGATTCAAATATGCATACTTAAGACAAAGAAATAAATATATACAATCGTGCAAGCGACTTTACGCTGCTTGTAAAATGCATGAATTGGCGAAAATGTACATATTATTCCTTTAATTATATTGTATTTTGTGTATATTATTGTAAATATTCAATTGAATTGTTAACTTTATACAAGTAGATGTTTAAAATAGCTCTATATTTGCTCTTTTTGTACAGCTTAATTCCAAAGCAGATTCCTTGACACTCACTCTGATAATAAATAGAATAGATACTGTAATGATATATAGTCTACTCACCGAGCACCGTGCACAGTGTGGTGAGCTCCATGCTGACTGGCTGACTCTCATCATACAGTCACAGTGTTATTGAGAGGCAGCAGCTTCCTGCTTCTCTCTCACCTCACATGTGTGAAATATGTCACAGCCTCCATTCTATCTGTAGTTGTGTTGCATTTATAGAAAAGAAGAACTACAGAAATGTTTATCTTCGCGAGAGGATAATCTGATTTTCAGCATTAACTTTATTATAAAACATCACATTGTAATATTCATATTTTCTCCTTTTTACTGTTAAATAAAAAGGTATATTTTATCTTTTTTTCATTCTTAATATATATATATATTTGTAATCATCTTTTGTTCGATTTTTTGTGGTAGGATTTAAAATATTGATTGTAATATAACTTTTGTATCATGTTTATTGTTGTAGTGAAACCTGATTTAACGAAACCGATCATTGATTTCAAATTACATTGTTTAATTGTTGCTGTGTGACCATCGTAGTTGGTCTCCTTCTAGAAGAAAGAAAAAGGTCAAAGTATTATTAGTTATTTGATGTGATGATCAGCGAAACCCCAGAAAATAATCTGTACTTTCCACCAGCCACAGGACAGGGAATTGTTTAGGTTTTTCACCATAGACTTTCCCCCCAAAAGGGCGGGACCATGACGTAGGGAGTGAAAGTACCCGGAGGTTCTGCTCTCAGCATGGCTCACTAACCCCATTCCAACCCGCCCCCTCCTACAGAGTGAACTCCAGGGTCCCTCAACAGTGTTAATAAATACTTCTGATGTTATAGCTCCTTAGTTTTTGAAACAGTCCCATACAACATATTTATAATTTATTATAATAAAATGGACCCGTTTTCTAGACTAGAGGTATATGATCCTAAGTAAAACAAATATGAGGTAACCATGAAGTTGTAACCATGACGCGAATGGAATGAACGTGTATGTTTACCATGCTAATAAAGCACCTTTGTTTTGTATTATAATTAGGGAGCGGTTTGGAACTGGGCCAAGGAAAGCAAGTGAAACCTGCAGGGCGGGGAGCAGTGACGCAGGGACGCAGTGACGCTATATAAAGACGTAGTGGAAACACATGCTTCATTCATTCATTTATTCATTGAGTGGAAGTGGAGCTACTTTCTACTTTGAGACTTTAAACAGAGAGGTTTTATGGTTCACTTCGGGGTTTTCGTGCTGGGCTTCTCTTTGGCTTTCTGGAGCTTCACGGCAGCTCACACAGAGGATAAAGGTAAGCTCCATTTGTTGTTTCGCTTGTTATTCATTCAAACGGCTGTCAGAAGATCACTTTTAAAAACCACACAAACCGACATATATCGCTAAACTCAAAGAGTCAAACAGCGTCTGTGAGTGGGGAACGGACAGTTACATGTTTTATAAGTAAATTTGTTATATCATTTTAAGTTTCTCTTATCGACTCTAACCGCTCCTCTTTCCTTTTAAAGGGACCCGCGTGGAAAAATATGTATGTGCGTGCAGACTTATCACGTTGTCATATTTTCATTATATCTCCGAATTTTGTTGATGTGATTTTATTTCTATGTTATTATGCTAACAGTAAATACATACCAGAGCCTATAATAAGTAAAAGTCCTCACTCATTGAGAGTGGTACTGAAGTAAAAGTATTTAAGTATCTTCATGAAAAAGTACAAAGAGTAAAAGTACTCATGCTGTAATAATATCTGACTCATCTCCAGGTCATACAGGGACTGTTTAATGAAGGCTGATTCAATATCTGACTCACAGCAGAATCAGTCTAGACTATTCTAGACTGATTTCAAGACTCAAGAGATCATGTCTTTCCCTGAGGGGGTGTTAACAATAATTAGACCTGACGTAGTGTTTATTTTCAAACTTAAACCTTTGGAGCCCGTCCAACATGTTATCTGATAAGCAGGACGGTTAAACTGGCGGGAAGATCAGCCACTGAGCCACAGCCTCGCAGTATGCCAACAAAACACAGTCCAGACTCAACTCATGCTATATCTTAGTTTTGTGACCAGAAATCAACCACTTGAAAATGTTTTTGTTCTGCTTCTTAAATATGAACATTATCTGCACAAATCCAATGGAGAAATCCCATTGGACCAGGGAGATGCTGCCTCCAGAGATACTTCATCCTTGCCCCGCTGTATTTAGCAGAAAGATTATAGTTAATCAAAAATACGACTTGACTCCTATTTTTTAAGGTTTATAGTTCCCCTCTGTGTTTTGGATTGTGATGGGTCAGACGCTGAGAGATGTCACGTACAATGTGTTGAAGTGCTAGCCAATAGGAGCACGAGTGTTGCAATGTGATGTCACCATGTTCCTTAACTCCGGGGTTTTAGCCTTTGCAGACCATTTACATGCACACAAACCTGTAACAAACTACAGGAGAGGGAAAACCCCAGAAAGCAGAATTTTTTAAAACGATACAATTCCTAAGGTTTTGTTATAAAAGTCTCCCTGGTCCCCGGCTTGAGCTTCAACATCAGGATCCATGTATCTGTGATCCTCTCCAGAATGGAAGCAGTCATCATGCACACAGCTACAGTTGGGATACCTTTGTTATCATGTGGACTCTCACATTGGAGGAGGACATTCAGTATTTTCACAACAGGTTTATATTTCCCCTCTGTGTTTTTCAGGGCGTCATCTGATTGGACCAGGACAGCCAATCGAGGCCTCTGTGGGCGATGACGTAATCCTCCCGTGTTCTGTGTCGCCCGACTACAACGTTGAGGATCTGACGGTGGAGTGGTCCCTTCCCGACCTGAAGCCCGACCCCTCGGACCGCCTCAGTCGCGTCGACTACGTCTTTGTGTACCGGAGGAGGAGAGAGGAAGTGGACATGAAGCTGCAGGAGTTCATCGGGAGGACGGAGCTGTTCGAGGACGAGCTGAAGGTCGGAAACATCTCGTTAAAGATCAGCAACGTGACGCTCGCTGACGCCGGAAAATACCGATGTTTCATCCCAAAGTTAGAGGGCGGCGTGAAGGAGGCGGTCGTACGACTCGTTGTTGGTGAGAAGATTGTTTGTAATGTTAGCGCTGAACTATTTGTGTTTCTTCTTATTAATATATATAAAGACATATACATGTGTCTGTTGATTGTGTGTATAGGATATATATAATTGTATTCGGGATTGTGGGAAGCGGTATTTCGATGTCTCTGTCTGCACACAAAGCGAAAGATTGACCATAAAGTTGACTTTGATATTGTTCTGTAAATAATAACACATGTTTTTGTTTTGTTTAGAACCCAGAGCCAACAGCACGTTGACGACAGAAACACAAACGAATTCTCAAACTCCAGATCCAAACCAAGAGACGGATGTTAAAGGTGAGGGAAAAACTAAGTCTTCAAATAAACGAAAAGGAACAAAATGATGAAAAAATGATTTTGTGTTTTAGCCGTTACTGAATATCTCTCTGTTTTCCTTGTCTCCACATCAGTTGGTCAGCCTCCACTGTGGGCCCTGGTTCTCTCCGTCTGCATCGTACTCGTCATGGTAGTTGTTGGGTTTGGAGTTGCACATTTCCTTTTAAAACGATGTGTACATGAGAAGGAAACCAAACGTTGTATCATTTGATGAAACCAATTCCTGCTTCGCTGCTCAAAGACAAGGCAAGTTTATTTATATAGCACTTTTCAACACAAGGCAATTCAAAGTGCTTTACAAAAAATGAAAGAGATTAAGAAGATGGCATTTAAAATCAGTCATTAAAAAGAAAAGCTAATAAAATAAACATTAAAAGAAAAAGTACATGGATAAAAGTTACAGTGCAGTTTAAGATATGAATAGTTCAATTAAAAGCAGCGACAAAAAGAAAAGTCTTCTTGCTGGATTTGAAAGTAGTCAGAGTTGCAGCGGACCTGCAGGTTTCTGGGAGTTTGTTCCAGATGTTTGGAGCATAATAACTGAACGCTGCTTCTCCATGTTTAGTTCTGACTCTGGGGACAGAAAGCTGACCAGTCCCTGAAGACCTGAGAGATCTGGATGCTTCATCATTTAGCAGGAAGTCAAAAATGTATTTTGGGCCTAAACCATTCAGTGCTTTATAAACCAGCAGCAGTATTTAGAAATCTATTCTTTGACACACAGGAAGCCAGTGTAAAGACTTCAGAACAGGAGTGATGTGATCCACTTTCTTAGTGTCAGTGAGGATTCGAGCAGCGGCGTTCTGAATCAGCTGCAGCTTCCTAATAGATGTTTTAGTGAGACCTGTGAAGACACCATTGCAGTAGTCGAGTCTACTGAAGATAAAAGCATGGACAAGTTTTTCCAGATCCTGCTGTGACATTAGTCTTTTAATCCTAGATATATTCTTTAGGTGATAGTAGGCTGATTTAGTAACTGTTTTAATGTGACTGTTGAAACTCAGGTCAGAGTCCATGACTACACCTAGATTTCTGGTTCTATCTGTTGTTTTGAACATTGCAGACTGAAGCTCAGCGCTAACTTTTATACGTTCTGCCTTGGCTCCAAAAACCATTACCTCAGTTTTGTCTGTTTTAATTGGAGAAAGTTCTGACACATCCAGTCATTGATTTGTTCAATGCACTTACTCAGTGTTTGAATTGGAGCATAGTCTCCTGGTGAAATTGTGGATTTGAAGAAGGAATCTAGAAGACAGGTATGTGGGAAGAAGAACATCCTGTTAGAGGAACTTTAAATCTCTGGACAGACGATCAGTCACTACATTAGAGGACATCGACTTCATGGCAGCGCTGCTCTAAGTGTGTTTAACTTTAGTCCACTGACAAAAGGAATGATATTTGTGAAGATTTTCTTTTGCCCTCAAACCTTTATGTCCGTCGTCCTCTTCTTGCCTGAAGGAGTGTTCCTTTACAAATATACATGTTTGTTTACTATATTGTCCCACAGATGCCTGTTGCACTGAATGATTGTGGGTTCAAACTTCCTCGTCTAACAAGTTTTGCACTTAAACTGAATTGAACCAGGGTGCACCTCACCAAGTACTTCTAAAGTAGGGTTTAGCATTCAACGCTAGCTTCTGTTAAACATAGCTTGCTGAAATCTCTGCCTTTTGATTGGTGTTTATTAACGAACATAACACACCTCCAAAAGCAGTAATCTATGTTGAGACAATTCGAAAATATTGTGAATGATTAAGACGATACTAAATGTACATCATTCAAGTGACGCTATGAATGTTTAAAAAGAAAGGAACAATTTAAATGTGAATTTGGTTGCTGTTATTACATGTATTAATGTGCAGCAAGAAGGAGAGCAAACGTTATATGGAAATCATTTCAAATGTTGATTTAAATTTGGAGTAACTTTTGTTTGTATGATTGAAAGAATCGGCTAAGAGTTGTCTAATTGAGGACACCCGATAAATGGACTAAACACGATTTAAAACCACCTTTAATCTGTTATAATTCTGTTATGTTATTCTAACTCATTCTTAGCAACCCATTTCTATCAAATAAAGTCTAAGTTTTCACGGTGCGACCTGATTTAGTAAATCAGTGATGAAGCCAAATCCAGACTTGAAGAATATTCTGTTTTTTTAAGGTTATTTATTATTTTTTACGGTCTTACTTACAACCAGAGGAAACGGATGTCCCGTCCTATCGAAGCGGATTATATTCTGTAAAAGTGTGAATATGTTGTTTTTTTAGGATGTGTTGTTCTGCTGTTTTGTATTTCTTGTATACAGACTGATTGTAAAACCATTCGGAAGGCATTTAGTGAATGAAAAAGCAGGTTCCGCACTCTGTTCATGGTGAAGACATGCTTCAGTTGAATGTGTCTCCTCTGTTCTGTTTTAGCACTGAATGAAAAAGAAACGGTGGATTTGAAAGGAGAAATGTTTGTTCCTCTCGGGTCTTCAGAAGTGTTTAAACTGCATGCATGCTGCAAATAAACACTTGTTTGAACACTACAGTGTGTCTGCTGAGTCTTTACATAAACGTTGAGTGACACTGACTTTTATCCATCCCATAATAACACTATGCATTACGTTAATGCGCATCATGGGAACGACATCTTGTTGTTTTTTAAATGTGTAAACCCTGAACATCTCTGCTCCATGCTTTGGAATCAGCACAACTCTCCACTTAAATACTGAATATTGTCACTTTATTATATTTTACTGCATTCAGTTCCCCACATTATTATATTTTGTGTAAATATTGTCTTTATTAATGTTTGGTAATGTATTCTTCTTTCTGTGTCTTTGAATGCAGCACTTATACCAAAGGTAATTCCTCGTGTAAATACTTAACACAAAAACTAAGGACATTTGAGTTTGGTAGATAATGTCTTTGTTGTAACAAAGCTTTTTTGCAATACATCTTTTACTGTTGGAAAGCCTGTTATCTTACCTTTCCAATGGTACCACATTGTGAGGAACAAGCATTTTTGGGATGAGCAGCAGAGTGGAGTCTGTGGGTTACGCCCAGGACAAATGTGACAAATCTCTTCTGCCAATGCCAAACAGTGGCCACTCCCCGGTCTCTACAGCGGCCATTATTATGTAGGGTTGCGTTCCAATAGTCCATTTAGCTTAGGAACCTTCCTAACGGAGTGAAATGACCCGGAAGTACGTCACTGGCAGCCATGATAAGTGCCGTTCCAATTCTCCAAATGAAAGGAAAGGAGGTTTCAAACTTCCTTTATAACCTCCTTTAGCTTAGGAACCACTGGACCTCCCTCACCGAAAGGAGAGGAGAAAATGCTGCCCCACAATGCATTGCAGCCGCAGCATTTGCCGTCACTCAACAGTCGGCCGTTCACGGAAACAACCGATTATGACCGAGAAATTATATCATGAAAGTTACGGTGCTTATTAAGCATTTTAAAACGTAGGTGGTAAGTTGCCAAAGTGCTTTGTTCTGAACGTTCATCAGTATTATAATCAAAGAGAGAAATATGAACGTTAGTTTTTACTGAAATGATCAAATAAAGTCAACATCTCACAGTCTTTACTGAGCTGTGGGGGGTTTGTTCAACTTTTAAAAGATGTTTGAATGGTGATATACACAGTGATAGATGTTAAGGACTAACGTTTATAATAAATACATTTGTATTGATTTTAAGATATTTTCATACAATCATACGTATTGGGATCATTTGTATTAATGTGGACCGGAGGGAGAGGGTGACGAGCAGAAGTTTCACTTTCCTTGTTTATTTCAATTCCAACTTTAGTCCTGAATAATATGTTTCTCTGTTGTCCCCGTTCATAAAGCATAAAGCAACAGCATCCGAGCACAGAGTCTCTAGATGAGTTTACAGGAGTCCCTCGTTCTTATTGAACATCCATGTTGTAGTCATAAACACGTCGGATAGTGAAAGTGCATTCGGATTCTCTAAAGTACCGCGGTCTCTTCTCCTAAGTCCTTTTGAATTCTCCTATCCACTATCCCTTAACCCCGTGACGTTTCACTCAGAGGTCAAGGAATAGGAGATAGGGTTAGAATTTAGGAGCTGATTTTTGGATTATCGGAACGCAACCCAGGACTGCCTTCCCCTTCCGTTCTGCCTTCCCCTTCCGTTCTGCCTACAGCACTTGGGTTGTAGGGTCAAGATGCGGAGAACGCTTCGCTGATTGCTGCACGGATAGAGTAACACCTTTATGGTTTGCCTGCAGTCCTGACATCTATCCCATTGAACACTTGCAGATCAGTGTGCGCAACACATGACTCATTCCTTCCTTGAGCAGCAGTGGAAATACTTTATTATCTTCCAGACTTTAAACACAGAGTTTTTATGGTTCACTTCGGGGTTTTCGTGCTGGGCTTCTCTTTGGCTTTCTGGAGCTTCACGGCAGCTCACAGAGAGGATGAAGGTAAGCTCCATTTATTGTTTTGCTTGTTATTCATTCAAACGGCTGTCAGAAGATAACTTTTAAAAACCACACAAACCGACATATATCGCTAAACTCAAAGAGTCAAACAGCGTCTGTGAGTGGGGAACGGACAGTTACATGTTTTATAAGTTAATTTGTTATATCATTTTAAGTTTCTCTTATCGACTCTAACCGCTCCTTTCTCTTTTTAAGTGGGACCTGCGTGCTCATAGCATGGCTCACATGTACGTGCGTGATGACGTATCACGTTGTCATCTTTTCATTGTAATACTATCTCCTCATTTTGTTATTTTATTTCTATGTTATTATGCTAACAGTAAATACATACCAGAGCCTATAATAAGTAAAAGTCCTCACTCATTGAGAGTGGTACTGAAGTAAAAGTATTTAAGTATCTTCATGAAAAAGTACAAAGAGTAAAAATACTCATGCTGTAATAATATCTGACTCATCTCCAGGTCATACAGGGACTGTTTAATGAAGGCTGATTCAATATCTGACTCACAGCAGAATCAGTCTAGACTATTCTAGACTGATTTCAAGACTCAAGAGATCATGTCTTTCCCTGAGGGGGTGTTAACTATAATTAGACCCAGACCTGACGTAGTGTTTATTTTCTAACTTAAACCTTTGGAGCCCGTCCAACATGTTATCTGATAAGCAGGACGGTTAAACTGGCAGGAAGATCAGCCACTGAGCCACAGCCTCGCAGTATGCCAACAAAACACAGTCCAGACTCAACTCATGCTATATCTTAGTTTTGTGACCAGAAATCAACCAAAAGTCAAATATATATATATATATGTTTATATAGGATATACATATTTGTTTACATTTTTGTATATTTATATTTTCTTAAAGTTCTCCTGTCTATTCTATCAACATGTGTCCCCTCTTCTTCATGTCTCTTCTACATCAACATGTGTCCCCTCTTCTCCATGTCTCTTCTACATCAACACGTGTCCCCTCTTCTTCATGTCTCTTCTACATCAACATGTGTCCCCTCTTCTTCATGTCTCTTCTACATCAACATGTGTCCCCTCTTCTCCATGTCTCTTCTACATCAACATGTGTCCCCTCTTCTCCATGTCTTTTCTACATCAACATGTGTCCCCTCTTCTCCATGTCTCTTCTACATCAACACGTGTCCCCTCTTCTTCATGTCTCTTCTACATCAACATGTGTCCTCTCTTCTCCATGTCTCTTCTACATCAACATGTGTCCCCTCTTCTCCATGTCTTTTCTACATCAACATGTGTCCCCTCTTCTTCATGTCTCTTCTACATCAACATGTGTCCCCTCTTCTCCATGTCTCTTCTACATCAACATGTGTCCCCTCTTCTCCATGTCTCTTCTACATCAACACGTGTCCCCTCTTCTTCATGTCTTTTCTACATCAACACGTGTCCCCTCTTCTTCATGTCTCTTCTACATCAACATGTGTCCCCTCTTCTTCATGTCTCTTCTACATCAACATGTGTCCCCTCTTCTTCATGTCTCTTCTACATCAACATGTGTCCCCTCTTCTTCATGTCTCTTTACATCAACATGTGTCCCCTCTTCTTCATGTCTCTTCTACATCAACATGTGTCCCCTCTTCTTCATGTCTCTTCTACATCAACATGTGTCCCCTCTTCTTCATGTCTCTTCTACATCAACATGTGTCCCCTCTTCTTCATGTCTCTTCTACATCAACATGTGTCCCCTCTTCTCCATGTCTCTTCTACATCAACATGTGTCCCCTCTTCTCCATGTCTCTCCTACATCAACATGTGTCCCCTCTTCTTCATGTCTCTTCTACATCAACATGTGTCCCCTCTTCTTCATGTCTCTTCTACATCATCATGTGTCCCCTCTTCTTCATGTCTCTTCTACATCAACATGTGTCTCCTCTTCTTCATGTCTTTTCTACATCAACATGTGTCCCCTCTTCTTCATGTCTCTTCTACATCAACATGTGTCCCCTCTTCTTCATGTCTCCTCTACATCAACATGTGTCCCCTCTTCTCCATGTCTCTTCTTCATCAACATGTGTCCCCTCTTCTCCATGTCTCCTCTACATCAACATGTGTCCCCTCTTCTTCATGTCTTTTCTACATCAACACGTGTCCCCTCTTCTTCATGTCTCTTCTACATCAACATGTGTCCCCTCTTCTTCATGTCTCTTCTACATCAACATGTGTCCCCTCTTCTTCATGTCTCTTCTACATCAACATGTGTCCCCTCTTCTTCATGTCTCTTCTACATCAACATGTGTCCCCTCTTCTCCATGTCTCTTCTACATCAACATGTGTCCCCTCTTCTTCATGTCTTTTCTACATCAACACGTGTCCCCTCTTCTTCATGTCTCTTCTACATCAACATGTGTCCCCTCTTCTTCATGTCTCTTCTACATCAACATGTGTCCCCTCTTCTTCATGTCTCTTCTTCATCAACATGTGTCCCCTCTTCTTCATGTCTCTTCTACATCAACATGTGTCCCCTCTTCTTCATGTCTCTTCTACATCAACATGTGTCCCCTCTTCTTCATGTCTCTTCTTCATCAACATGTGTCCCCTCTTCTTCATGTCTCTTCTACATCAACATGTGTCCCCTCTTCTTCATGTCTCTTCTACATCAACATGTGTCCCCTCTTCTCCATGTCTCTTCTACATCAACATGTGTCCCCTCTTCTTCATGTCTCTTCTACATCAACATGTGTCCCCTCTTCTTCATGTCTCTTCTACATCAACATGTGTCCCCTCTTCTTCATGTCTCTTCTACATCAACATGTGTCCCCTCTGTGGAAAGAGACTCTGAAAGTTTCAGGAACAAAGATTCTCTCTCTTTTTGATCCATTTCTATAAAAACCTGTCTGAAAATGAACTGATCAGATTTTGGCCACTTTATGATGTCATAACGATGTGTTGTCTTGTGTAACCATTAGCCAATCAGCAACCAAGGTAACCCCCCCCCCCCCCCTTTTCACCTGAATCTCCTCTAGAGCACCATTGAGTTCTTTGTAACCACATCTCTCTCAGAGGGGCGTGGGCAGGGGCTCCTTATGTTCATCTAAAGTAACAGACAAGAGAGGCTTCTCAATACTCAAATTTCCGCTCCTCGACTCCTCGGTCCTCGGGTAGTGACCCGGAAATGAATTTCAGCGCGCCATGTTGAAGGACGTCTCATTTCTCTAAATGCACTTCGAGGATCGAGGACCGAGGATCGAGCGTCGAGGAGGCTCTCTGGAGGAGCTCTAACCGAGGATACACTGATGGTTCCTCCACGGCTCCTCCACGGATGCATTTCCGGGAACGGTGGAGGCGTGACGCACGGCCGGACTTATCTCAGCCAATCACAGCTCTGCATGCATCCCCTGGATATTATTTTAGAAACTGCTTTCATCGCGTCGCGATGTTTCCAGAGAGAACAGCTGTGAGGTCCGTGCAGAAAGCAGAGCAGTGTGTATAATATCACTCAGTATAACAGGCCTACTCTCTTTATTTGCTTTAGTTTAGTTGATATCTACAAACAAAGAGTCCAGATGTTTCTAAGACCATTTAGTGCTTCACATAATAAAATACACAACGGCTTATGCTTTAGGAGCTGTAGGTGTGTGTGGTACAGTGTGTAGGTGTGTGGTAGTTAGGTGTTGTGTGTGGTACAGTGTGTAGGTGTGTGTGTGTGGTACAGTGTGTAGGTGTGTGTGTGGTACAGTGTGTAGGTGTGTGTGTGGTACAGTGTGTAGGTGTGTGTGTGTGGTACAGTGTGTAGGTGTGTGTGTGTGGTACAGTGTGTAGGTGTGTGTGTGTGTACAGTGTGTAGGTGTGTGTGTGGTACAGTGTGTAGGTGTGTGTGTGTGGTACAGTGTGTAGGTGTGGGTGGTACAGTGTGTAGGGTGTGTGGTACAGTGTGTAGGTGTGTGTGTGTGGTACAGTGTGTAGGTGTGTGTTGTACAGTGTGTAGGTGTGTGTATGTGTGTGGTACAGTGTGTAGGTGTGTGTGGTACAGTGTGTAGGTGTGTGTGGTACAGTGTGTAGGTGTGTGTGGTACAGTGTGTAGGTGTGTGTTGTACAGTGCGTAAATGCGGCGGACAGACGGGTCTCAGTTGGTTTGGTGTCCTCTGCTTACTTTTAATAGGCCTACTTGTAAATACAACTTTTGGCCCGTAATTTCAATTCCCCATTTCAGCGACCAGAGAGAGGGGGGGGGATATATCCAGTCTCTGATTGTGTTACGTTATTATGAGAGTGCTCTCATACTTTAAATTGTATATATTTATATAAATATATTTGTGTGTGTGTCTGTAGCCTGTTATTGTCTCATTATACTCTCAATGAATTCAAAGTAAATATGTGGGGGAACAATGTTCAGCTGATCTAACAGAGATACAGCGCTATGACAAAACACTCGACAGCTGATGCAGCTGTTGCCACGTAATAATGAACAGACGTCTCTTTAAAATGACCGCTCAGAGGAGAGGAGTTCTCATTGCTTTAAACGTCTGCTGCTTCCCCTCCTCTCTCCTCGGTTCCTCTCCTCGGTCCTCCGCTCGCATCTCCTGTGGGCGGGACTAAGTCTCGAGGAGGGGAGTCGAGGAGGGGACATTTGAGTATTGAGAAGCCTCTAGACTAGAATCAGCACTTTGGAAACAGGGCTGAAACAGAGGGGATTATGGGTAATGCTGCAATGATCTGTTTGTTGTTTCAGCCAATCAGAGACAGGCTCTGGATATATCTGAGACCTATAATATATTGATGAAACACAGTATAATAGGGGACCTTTCAGATAACTCAAACATATCCAGGGTATGTTGAACTGGCTTCAGATGACAGGTCACATGATCTGATCACACCGGCGTGATGGTCGTCTCTTAAGGGTTAATTAACATACATATTTAATTTTGTATAAAACTGCAGATTTCTGTCCAGAATGTTCAGTGAACAAGAAGAAAAACACACCCTTTCATTTTGGGGTTTTTATATTATTATCATATATTAAGGTGTGGTTGAGACTAGAGGCCATATGGCTGTTTTCACTGTTCACTGATCTCAAAGCAGAAAGTGTTTCCTGATTCAGCTCAAATAAATGATAATGTTGATATCTGGCGCCACCTAGTGTCAGACATATATTACTGTTCCTGGTGTCAGTCCGCTGAAGTATTTTGATGACTAAACATACAGAAGGCTCGTCTCAATACCCCTCCTCGGCTGCAGTCGAATAGTCCGTTCAGCTTAGGAACCTTCCTAACCGAGTGAAATGACCCGGAAGTCCCTCAGTGGCAGCCATGATAAGTGCCGTTCAAATTCTCTAGATCAGGTGGGTCAAACTCAATTTCATCGCGGGCCACATCAGCGTTATGGTTGCACTCAAAGGGCCGGTTGTAACTATATAATATATATATAAAATAATGTATTATATTACATTATTGCCTCTGAATTGGATTATTATCGGATAGGGTAATAACTAACTACATTTGAAAGCAGAAGTCCAGGCCAAATAATTGCAAGTCTCTTCAGTGCGCATGTCACAAAACGAGATGCATTGTGGGACATGTAGAGTCCCTCTGTGTCTCCTCCACAGGAACATAGCTGCAGTTTAAAGAGTCCCTCTGTCTCCTCCACAGGAACATTTGTAGTGAATGTGACTCAGACGTCCTATCAGGCAGAGGAGAACCAGAACATCACCCTGGAGTGGACCTTCAGCACCAGAAGAGACACTTCACTCAGATCCATTTCTACCTTCTGTTACCTTTATACTGAGGACCGAACCTTAGTCCTGTTTCATCTAAATGAAGGAGTTGAATCCCCAGAGTCTCAGGATCCTCAGTTTGCAGGACGACTCCAGTGGGACAAAGACGTCCTCACAGAAGGACGCCTCACACTTCATGTCTCCAGACTCAGGACCAGTGACTCTGGATTGTATCGGTGTGACATACTCGTCATACCTGATGGGAGTAACTCGAACAGATGCTCCCTCAACGTCACTGGTGAGTCGGCTCTGCAAATATTTGTTATTAAGTTGAAGTTGGGAGTTTGGAACGAACCAGAGACTCCAAACACAGGAAGTCGGGGACGGATTGGCCTCTACTTCACACTGGGACATTGAGATGTTTGTTATGGTACCGCTGTACTATTTTTGCTGCTTCTTCTGAATATTGTTCTGTAAATAATTACATATGTTTTTTGTAGAAGCAAAACCCAACAGCACATTGAAGACAGAATTACAAACTCCAGATCCAAACCAAGAGACGGATGTTAAAGGTGAGGAAAATAACTAAGTCTTAAAGGTCCCATGACATGGCCATTTCTACTGATCATAGCTCCATTGTTGAGTCGACTAGAATAGATTTATACTGTTCAATGTTCCAAACTCACATTGGTTTCTCACAGCATCTCTGTAGAGTCTGTGTATTCACTCTCTGTCCTACACGGCTTGTTGGAGCTCCTGCCCCCCCCCCCCCCCATGAGCCCACTGTGCTCTGATGTGTGTGTGTGTGTGTGTGTGTGTGTGTGTGTGTGTGTGTGTGTGTGTGTGTGTGTGTGTGTGTGTGTGTGTGTGTGTGTGTGTGTGTGTGTGTGTGTGTGTGTGTGTGTGTGTGTGTGTGTGTGTGTGTGTGTGTGTGTGTGTGTGTGTGTGTGTGTGTGTGTGTGTGTGTGTGTGTGTGTGTGTGTGTGTGTGTGTGTGTGTGTGTGTGTGTGTGTGTGTGTGTGTGTGTGTGTGTGTGTGTACTGAATATCTCTCTGTTTTCCTTGTCTCCACATCAGTTGGTCAGCCTCCACTGCGGGCCCTGGTTCTCTCCGTCTGCATCGTACTCGTCATGGTAGTTTTTGGGTTTGGAGTTACACACTTCCTTTTAAAACGATGTGTACATGAGAAGGAAACCAAACGTTGTATCATTTGATGAAACCAATTCCTGCTTCGCTGCTCAAAGTGGATTTGAAGAAGGAATCTAGAAGACAGGTTTGTGGAAAGAAGAACATCCTGTTAGAGGAACTTTAAATCTCTGGACAGACGATCAGTCACTACATTAGAGGACATCGACTTCATGGCAGCGCTGCTCTAAGTGTGTTTAACTTTAGTCCACTGACAAAAGGAATGATATTTGTGAAGATTTTCTTTTGCCCTCAAACCTTTATGTCCGTCGTCCTCTTCTTGCCTGAAGGAGTGTTCCTTTACAAATATACATGTTTGTTTACTATATTGTCCCACAGATGCCTGTTGCACTGAATGATTGTGGGTTCAAACTTCCTCGTCTAACAAGTTTTTGCACTTAAATGAAACTAAGTTAAATCAGGTTGCACCTCACATCAACAAGTGACACTGACTTTTATCCACCCCATAATAACACTATGCATTACGTTAATACACATCATGCTCAGTTTTAAATGTTTAAATCCTGCACATCATGCTACCTCTTTGAAATCAGCACAACTGTCCACTTTAATGCAGTATATTGTCATATTTTACTGCATTCAGTTTCCCACATTATTATAGTTTGTGTAAATATTGTCTTTAATTATTTCTGGTTACGTGTTCTTCTTTCTGTCTTTGAATGCAGCACTTACACCAAAGCTAATTCTCAGTGACGAGCGGTGAGGTTCATGGCTGGTGAGGCACGGACTCTTTCAGAGTCACATTTACAAATATTATATTCTGACCTTAATCGAAATATTCTGTTATTTTCAAAAGCTTTTTTAGTCTGATGTTTCGATTCATTTCAAACAGACCGTTCAACAAAAGGATACCCAACATCTAAATATTGGATTGTTCTTTCTTAGTAAGATCCCATTTTCATTACCAATGTGGTCTTACCTTGACTTGAAGATGAAGTCCATGCTCTCCTTCTGGACAACAATCTCTATTACTTCTTTGTAAAAGTCCTCCTTATCTTCCTCTAGTTTCAAAAGTCTAGCTTGTTGTTTGCGTCTACCGTCTCTGCGTAGAATAACAGTAGCAACAAGAACCTGTGGGCTCACTTGCGCCCCCTTCAGTGCGGCAGAGGTTATGGCTGCCTCCCCTGGTGCTTTTTTCATTGCCGTTGTATGATGAGACCATGAGACCAGCGAGCCTAAATATCATATATACGTGAAATAAGTTATTTAGAGACTATGGATGGCGAGGATAAATGTAATAAAGGGATCTACAAACATTACATTGGTGACATACAGTGAGATGGTGCAGGCATGCGCTTAGGGCCCGCTTTCCAGCCAGTTTCTGTGGGGTGACGCATTCTGAGGTGAGGCAGAGCTCATCTGTGCCTCACCTCACCACACAGTAAAAGAAACTAATCTATGAATTTCAATCTGGCTTTAGAACATCCCACTCCACTGACACATGCCTTCTTTATTTGAGCGACCACATCAAACAAGAGGTGGACGAGGGCAAGTACTGCGGCATGGTGATGCTGGACCTACAAAAGGCTTTCGACACTGTCAATCACCCCATTCTGATTGACAAGCTAAAAGCAATTGGTTTTAATAGACTATCGGTGAGCTGGATGCAATCCTACCTGGAGGGGAGAGAACAGATGGTGGAGGTAAACGGTACTCTGTCCCCCCTCCCCCCCTCCCAGTGAGCTGTGGTGTTCCACAAGGAAGCATATTAGGTCCGTTACTGTTCCTAATTTATGTAAATGACATGTCATCAGCATGTGACTGCAACTTGTTCCTGTTCGCGGACGACTCAGCCCTGCTGGTCTCTGACAGGAACAGGTTGCAGGTTGAAAAAACCCTCAGCTCCGAGCTCGGCAGAATCTGCACCTGGCTCGCCGATAATAAATTATCATTACACCTGGGTAAAACAGAGTCCATTCTCTTCGAAACATAATCTCAGCAAATCCGACGACTTCTCAGTTGCAGTGGGCGACATTATTGTAAGAAGGAAATTACATACCTAGGATCTATTCTTGAGGCAAACCTCTCCTGTGACAAAATGGCATCCAATGTAATAAAAAAAGTCAATCAAAGAACTAGATTCCTATACCGGATCTCCTCTCTGGTAAACAAGAACACCCTGAAAACTCTGGCAGGAGCACTCATTCAAGGGTACTATGACTATGCTTGCACGTCATGGTACCATAGCACCTCCAAGGCGCTAAAAATAAAACTTCAAACATCGCAAAATAAACTGGTCAGACTACTGCTTGACCTTTCATCTAGAACCCACCTCACCTCTGCCCACTTTGACAACCTAGGATGGCTTAGAGTAGACGACAGAGTACAGCTACTTGCAATGGGCCTGGTCTACAAGATCCACTACACCTCTATGGTACCCATGTACATGTCAAAATTCTTCCCAAAGGTCAAGGAATACCATGATCATAACACCAGAGGGAGCTCCACAAATCATGTGAAACCCAGATTTGGCACAAAAAAGGGGGAATACACGTTTCGCAATTATGCCACATCAAGGTGGAACGCTCTTCCCACAACTGTAAAGGAAAGTAAAACTATACTTACCTTCAAAACCTCTCTTAAAGAGCACCTTCGGGGGAGAGCATTGCAAAACTGGCCCCGGTAATGGTACAAATCAACCTGTCGTTCAATGGACAGCTTCCCCCCCCCCATCTATGTATATACTCGCATTTTAGACTCTGTTACTAACTGTATATCTGTAGACTTGGTATGTCTTAAATGTCCGGTTAGGATGTATTAGAACGAAATCTAAAATGAAAATTGTAAATAAGCAATCTGTATGTAAAAAACCACCTGTATGTAAATTGTAAATAAGCCATCTGTATGTCTTATATGTCTTAAAGGATATGATGAATTGGAAATGGGGGGCCCTGATGTAAACAAGACGAAAGTCTTTATCTGGTCTGCATCCCCTTAACAATTGTATGTTTTGAGCTGTACTGTACTGTACCCAATATACAAGCTGTTAATAAACGTTTCAATCAATCAATCAAACCATGACGTAGAGAGTGAAAGTACCCGGAGGTTCTGCTCTCAGCATGGCTCACTAACCCCACTCCAAACCGCCCCCTCCTACAGAGTGAACTCCAGGGTCCCTCAACAGTGTTAATAAATACTTCTGATGTTATAGCTCATTAGTTATTGAAATAGTCCCATACAACATATTTATAATGTATTATAATAAAATGGACCCGTTTTCTAGACTAGAGGTATATGATCCTAAGTAAAACAAATATGAGGTAACCATGAAGTTGTAACCATGACGCGAATGGAATGAACGTGTATGTTTACCATGCTAATAAAGCAGCTTTGTTTTGTATTATGATTAGGGAGCGGTTTGGAACTGGGCCAAGGAAAGCAAGTGAAACCTGCAGGGCGGGGGAGCAGGGACGCTGATATAAAGACGTAGTGGAAACACCTGCTTCATTCATTCATTCATTCATTCATTGAGAGGCAGTGGAGCTACTTTCTACTTCCAGACTTTAAACAGAGAGTTTTTATGGTTCACTTCGGGGTTTTCGTTCTGGGCTTCTCTTTGGCTTTCTGGAGCTTCACGGCAGCTCACAGAGAGGATGAAGGTAAGCTCCATTTGTTGTTTCGCTTTTTATTCATTCAAACGGCTGTCAGAAGATCACTTTTAAAAACCAGACAAACCGACATATATCGTTAAACTCAAAGAGTCAAACAGCGTCTGTGAGTGGGGAACGGACAGTTACATGTTTTATAAGTTAATTTGTTATATCATTTAAAGTTTCTCTTATCGACTAACCGCTCCTTTCTCTTTTTGAATAATGCACCCTCGTGCTCATAGCATGGCTCACGCGGAAAATATGTACGTGCGTGATGACGTATCACGTTGTCATCTTTTCATTGTAATACTATCTCCTCATTTTGTTGTGATTTTATTTCTATGTTATTATGCTAACAGTAAATACATACCAGAGCCTATAATAAGTAAAAGTCCTCACTCATTGAGAGTGGTACTGAAGTAAAAGTATTTAAGTATCTTCATGAAAAAGTACAAAGAGTAAAAATACTCATGCTGTAATAATATCTGACTCATCTCCAGGTCATACAGGGACTGTTTAATGAAGGCTGATTCAATATCTGACTCACAGCAGAATCAGTCTAGACTATTCTAGACTGATTTCAAGACTCAAGAGATCATGTCTTTCCCTGAGGGGGTGTTAACAATAATTAGACCCAGACCTGACGTAATGTTTATTTTCAAACTTCAACCTTTGGAGCCCGTCCAACATGTTATCTGATAAGCAGGACGGTTAAACTGGCGGGAAGATCAGCCACTGAGCCACAGCCTCGCAGTATGCCAACAAAACACAGTCCAGACTCAACTCATGCTATATCTTAGTTTTGTGACCAGAAATCAACCACTTGAAAATGTTTTTGTTCTGCTTCTTAAATATGAACATTATCTGCACAAATCCAATGGACAAATCCCATTGGACCAGGGAGATGCTGCCTCCAGAGATACTTCATCCTTGCCCCGCTGTATTTAGCAGAAAGATTATAGTTAATCAAAAATACGACTTGACTCCTATTTTTTAAGGTTTATAGTTCCCCTCTGTGTTTTGGATTGTGATGGGTCAGACGCTGAGAGATGTCACGTACAATGTGTTGAAGTGCTAGCCAATAGGAGCACGAGTGTTGCAATGTGATGTCACCATGTTCCTTAACTCCGGGGTTTTAGCCTTTGCAGACCATTTACATGCACACAAACCTGTAACAAACTACAGGAGAGGGAAAACCCCAGAAAGCAGAATTTTTTAAAACGATACAATTCCTAAGGTTTTGTTATAAAAGTCTCCCTGGTCCCCGGCTTGAGCTTCAACATCAGGATCCATGTATCTGTGATCCTCTCCAGAATGGAAGCAGTCATCATGCACACAGCTACAGTTGGGATACCTTTGTTATCATGTGGACTCTCACATTGGAAGAGGACATTCAGTATTTTCACAACAGGTTTATATTTCCCCTCTGTGTTTTTCAGGGCGTCATCTGATTGGACCAGGACAGCCAATCGAGGCCTCTGTGGGCGATGACGTAATCCTCCCGTGTTCTGTGTCGCCCGACTACAACGTTGAGGATCTGACGGTGGAGTGGTCCCTTCCCGACCTGAAGCCCGACCCCTCGGACCGCCTCAGTCGCGTCGACTACGTCTTTGTGTACCGGAGGAGGAGAGAGGAAGTGGACATGAAGCTGCAGGAGTTCATCGGGAGGACGGAGCTGTTCGAGGACGAGCTGAAGGTCGGAAACATCTCGTTAAAGATCAGCAACGTGACGCTCGCTGACGCCGGAAAATACCGATGTTTCATCCCAAAGTTAGAGGGCGGCGTGAAGGAGGCGGTCGTACGACTCGTTGTTGGTGAGAAGATTGTTTGTAATGTTAGCGCTGAACTATTTGTGTTTCTTCTTATTAATATATATAAAGACATATACATGTGTCTGTTGATTGTGTGTATAGGATATATATAATTGTATTCGGGATTGTGGGAAACGGTATTTCGATGTCTCTGTCTGCACACAAAGCGAAAGATTGACCATAAAGTTGACTTTGATATTGTTCTGTAAATAATAACACATGTTTTTGTTTTGTTTAGAACCCAGAGCCAACAGCACGTTGACGACAGAAACACAAACGAATTCTCAAACTCCAGATCCAAACCAAGAGACGGATGTTAAAGGTGAGGGAAAAACTAAGTCTTCAAATAAACGAAAAGGAACAAAATGATGAAAAAATGATTTTGTGTTTTAGCCGTTACTGAATATCTCTCTGTTTTCCTTGTCTCCACATCAGTTGGTCAGCCTCCACTGTGGGCCCTGGTTCTCTCCGTCTGCATCGTACTCGTCATGGTAGTTGTTGGGTTTGGAGTTGCACATTTCCTTTTAAAACGATGTGTACGTGAGAAGGAAACCAAACGTTGTATCATTTGATGAAACCAATTCCTGCTTCGCTGCTCAAAGTGGATTTGAAGAAGGAATCTAGAAGACAGGTTTGTGGAAAGAAGAACATCCTGTTAGAGGAACTTTAAATCTCTGGACAGACGATCAGTCACTACATTAGAGGACATCGACTTCATGGCAGCGCTGCTCTAAGTGTGTTTAACTTTAGTCCACTGACAAAAGGAATGATATTTGTGAAGATTTTCTTTTGCCCTCAAACCTTTATGTCCGTCGTCCTCTTCTTGCCTGAAGGAGTGTACCTTTACAAATATACATGTTTGTTTACTATATTGTCCCACAGATGCCTGTTGCACTGAATGATTGTGGGTTCAAACTTCCTCGTCTAACAAGTTTTGCACTTAAACTGAATTGAACCAGGGTGCACCTCACCAAGTACTTCTAAAGTAGGGTTTAGCATTCAACGCTAGCTTCTGTTAAACATAGCTTGCTGAAATCTCTGCCTTTTGATTGGTGTTTATTAACGAACATAACACACCTCCAAAAGCAGTAATCTATGTTGAGACAATTCGAAAATATTGTGAATGATTAAGACGATACTAAATGTACATCATTCAAGTGACGCTATGAATGTTTAAAAAGAAAGGAACAATTTAAATGTGAATTTGGTTGCTGTTATTACATGTATTAATGTGCAGCAAGAAGGAGAGCAAACGTTATATGGAAATCATTTCAAATGTTGATTTAAATTTGGAGTAACTTTTGTTTGTATGATTGAAAGAATCGGCTAAGAGTTGTCTAATTGAGGACACCCGATAAATGGACTAAACACGATTTAAAACCACCTTTAATCTGTTATAATTCTGTTATGTTATTCTAACTCATTCTTAGCAACCCATTTCTATCAAATAAAGTCTAAGTTTTCACGGTGCGACCTGATTTAGTAAATCAGTGATGAAGCCAAATCCAGACTTGAAGAATATTCTGTTTTTTTAAGGTTATTTATTATTTTTTACGGTCTTACTTACAACCAGAGGAAACGGATGTCCCGTCCTATCGAAGCGGATTATATTCTGTAAAAGTGTGAATATGTTGTTTTTTTAGGATGTGTTGTTCTGCTATTTTGTATTTCTTGTATACAGACTGATTGTAAAACCATTCGGAAGGCATTTAGTGAATGAAAAAGCAGGTTCCGCACTCTGTTCATGGTGAAGACATGCTTCAGTTGAATGTGTCTCCTCTGTTCTGTTTTAGCACTGAATGAAAAAGAAACGGTGGATTTGAAAGGAGAAATGTTTGTTCCTCTCGGGTCTTCAGAAGTGTTTAAACTGCATGCATGCTGCAAATAAACACTTGTTTGAACACTACAGTGTGTCTGCTGAGTCTTTACATAAACGTTGAGTGACACTGACTTTTATCCATCCCATAATAACACTATGCATTACGTTAATGCGCATCATGGGAACGACATCTTGTTGTTTTTTAAATGTGTAAACCCTGAACATCTCTGCTCCATGCTTTGGAATCAGCACAACTCTCCACTTAAATACTGAATATTGTCACTTTATTATATTTTACTGCATTCAGTTCCCCACATTATTATATTTTGTGTAAATATTGTCTTTATTAATGTTTGGTAATGTATTCTTCTTTCTGTGTCTTTGAATGCAGCACTTATACCAAAGGTAATTCCTCGTGTAAATACTTAACACAAAAAGTAAGGACATTTGAGTTTGGTAGATAATGTCTTTGTTGTAACAAAGCTTTTTTGCAATACATCTTTTACTGTTGGAAAGCCTGTTATCTTACCTTTCCAATGGTACCACATTGTGAGGAACAAGCCTTTGTCGGATGAGCAGCAGAGTGGAGTCTGTGGGTTACGCCCAGGACAAATGTGACAAATCTCTTCTGCCAATGCCAAACAGCGGCCACTCCCCGGTCTCTACAGCGGCCATTATTATGTAGGGTTGCGTTCCAATAGTCCATTTAGCTTAGGAACCTTCCTAACGGAGTGAAATGACCCGGAAGTACGTCACTGGCAGCCATGATAAGTGCCGTTCCAATTCTCCAAATGAAAGGAAAGGAGGTTTCAAACTTCCTTTATAACCTCCTTTAGCTTAGGAACCACTGGACCTCCCTCACCGAAAGGAGAGGAGAAAATGCTGCCCCACAATGCATTGCAGCCGCAGCATTTGCCGTCACTCAACAGTCGGCCGTTCACGGAAACAACCGATTATGACCGAGAAATTATATCATGAAAGTTACGGTGCTTATTAAGCATTTTAAAACGTAGGTGGTAAGTTGCCAAAGTGCTTTGTTCTGAACGTTCATCAGTATTATAATCAAAGAGAGAAATATGAACGTTAGTTTTTACTGAAATGATCAAATAAAGTCAACATCTCACAGTCTTTACTGAGCTGTGGGGGGTTTGTTCAACTTTTAAAAGATGTTTGAATGGTGATATACACAGTGATAGATGTTAAGGACTAACGTTTATAATAAATACATTTGTATTGATTTTAAGATATTTTCATACAATCATACGTATTGGGATCATGTGTATTAATGTGGACCGGAGGGAGAGGGTGACGAGCAGAAGTTTCACTTTCCTTGTTTATTTCAATTCCAACTTTAGTCCTGAATAATATGTTTCTCTGTTGTCCCCGTTCATAAAGCATAAAGCAACAGCATCAGAGCACAGAGTCTCTAGATGAGTTTACAGGAGTCCCTCGTTCTTATTAAACATCCATGTTGTAGTCATAAACACGTCGGATAGTGAAAGTGCATTCGGATTCTCTAAAGTACCCGCGGTCTCTTCTCCTAAGTCCTTTTGAATTCTCCTATCCACTATCCCTTAACCCCGTGACGTTTCACTCAGAGGTCAAGGAATAGGAGATAGGGTTAGAATTTAGGAGCTGATTTTTGGATTATCGGAACGCAACCCAGGACTGCCTTCCCCTTCCGTTCTGCCTTCCCGTTCCGTTCTGCCTACAGCACTTGGGTTGTAGGGTCAAGATGCGGAGAACGCTTCGCTGATTGCTGCACGGATAGAGTAACACCTTTATGGTTTGCCTGCAGTCCTGACATCTACCCCATTGAACACTTGCAGATCAGTGTGCGCAACACATGACTCATTCCTTCCTTGAGCAGCAGTGGAAATACTTTATTATCTTCCAGACTTTAAACACAGAGTTTTTATGGTTCACTTCGGGGTTTTCGTGCTGGGCTTCTCTTTGGCTTTCTGGAGCTTCACGGCAGCTCACAGAGAGGATGAAGGTAAGCTCCATTTATTGTTTTGCTTGTTATTCATTCAAACGGCTGTCAGAAGATCACTTTTAAAAACCACACAAACCGACATATATCGCTAAACTCCGGTCAAACAGCGTCTGTGAGTGGGGAACGGACAGTTACATGTTTTATAAGTTAATTTGTTATATCATTTTAAGTTTCTCTTATCGACTCTAACCGCTCCTTTCTCTTTTTAAGTGGGACCTGCGTGCTCATAGCATGGCTCACATGTACGTGCGTGATGACGTATCACGTTGTCATCTTTTCATTGTAATACTATCTCCTCATTTTGTTATTTTATTTCTATGTTATTATGCTAACAGTAAATACATACCAGAGCCTATAATAAGTAAAAGTCCTCACTCATTGAGAGTGGTACTGAAGTAAAAGTATTTAAGTATCTTCATGAAAAAGTACAAAGAGTAAAAATACTCATGCTGTAATAATATCTGACTCATCTCCAGGTCATACAGGGACTGTTTAATGAAGGCTGATTCAATATCTGACTCACAGCAGAATCAGTCTAGACTATTCTAGACTGATTTCAAGACTCAAGAGATCATGTCTTTCCCTGAGGGGGTGTTAACTATAATTAGACCCAGACCTGACGTAGTGTTTATTTTCTAACTTAAACCTTTGGAGCCCGTCCAACATGTTATCTGATAAGCAGGACGGTTAAACTGGCAGGAAGATCAGCCACTGAGCCACAGCCTCGCAGTATGCCAACAAAACACAGTCCAGACTCAACTCATGCTATATCTTAGTTTTGTGACCAGAAATCAACCAAAAGTCAAATATATATATATATATGTTTATATAGGATATACATATTTGTTTACATTTTTGTATATTTATATTTTCTTAAAGTTCTCCTGTCTATTCTATCAACATGTGTCCCCTCTTCTTCATGTCTCTTCTACATCAACATGTGTCCCCTCTTCTCCATGTCTCTTCTACATCAACACGTGTCCCCTCTTCTTCATGTCTCTTCTACATCAACATGTGTCCCCTCTTCTTCATGTCTCTTCTACATCAACATGTGTCCCCTCTTCTCCATGTCTCTTCTACATCAACATGTGTCCCCTCTTCTCCATGTCTTTTCTACATCAACATGTGTCCCCTCTTCTCCATGTCTCTTCTACATCAACACGTGTCCCCTCTTCTTCATGTCTCTTCTACATCAACATGTGTCCTCTCTTCTCCATGTCTCTTCTACATCAACATGTGTCCCCTCTTCTCCATGTCTTTTCTACATCAACATGTGTCCCCTCTTCTTCATGTCTCTTCTACATCAACATGTGTCCCCTCTTCTCCATGTCTCTTCTACATCAACATGTGTCCCCTCTTCTCCATGTCTCTTCTACATCAACACGTGTCCCCTCTTCTTCATGTCTTTTCTACATCAACACGTGTCCCCTCTTCTTCATGTCTCTTCTACATCAACATGTGTCCCCTCTTCTTCATGTCTCTTCTACATCAACATGTGTCCCCTCTTCTTCATGTCTCTTCTACATCAACATGTGTCCCCTCTTCTTCATGTCTCTTTACATCAACATGTGTCCCCTCTTCTTCATGTCTCTTCTACATCAACATGTGTCCCCTCTTCTTCATGTCTCTTCTACATCAACATGTGTCCCCTCTTCTTCATGTCTCTTCTACATCAACATGTGTCCCCTCTTCTTCATGTCTCTTCTACATCAACATGTGTCCCCTCTTCTTCATGTCTCTTCTACATCAACATGTGTCCCCTCTTCTCCATGTCTCTTCTACATCAACATGTGTCCCCTCTTCTCCATGTCTCTCCTACATCAACATGTGTCCCCTCTTCTTCATGTCTCTTCTACATCAACATGTGTCCCCTCTTCTTCATGTCTCTTCTACATCATCATGTGTCCCCTCTTCTTCATGTCTCTTCTACATCAACATGTGTCTCCTCTTCTTCATGTCTTTCTACATCAACATGTGTCCCCTCTTCTTCATGTCTCTTCTACATCAACATGTGTCCCCTCTTCTTCATGTCTCCTCTACATCAACATGTGTCCCCTCTTCTCCATGTCTCTTCTTCATCAACATGTGTCCCCTCTTCTCCATGTCTCCTCTACATCAACATGTGTCCCCTCTTCTTCATGTCTTTTCTACATCAACACGTGTCCCCTCTTCTTCATGTCTCTTCTACATCAACATGTGTCCCCTCTTCTTCATGTCTCTTCTACATCAACATGTGTCCCCTCTTCTTCATGTCTCTTCTACATCAACATGTGTCCCCTCTTCTTCATGTCTCTTCTACATCACATGTGTCCCCTCTTCTCCATGTCTCTTCTACATCAACATGTGTCCCCTCTTCTTCATGTCTTTTCTACATCAACACGTGTCCCCTCTTCTTCATGTCTCTTCTACATCAACATGTGTCCCCTCTTCTTCATGTCTCTTCTACATCAACATGTGTCCCCTCTTCTTCATGTCTCTTCTTCATCAACATGTGTCCCCTCTTCTTCATGTCTCTTCTACATCAACATGTGTCCCCTCTTCTTCATGTCTCTTCTACATCAACATGTGTCCCCTCTTCTTCATGTCTCTTCTTCATCAACATGTGTCCCCTCTTCTTCATGTCTCTTCTACATCAACATGTGTCCCCTCTTCTTCATGTCTCTTCTACATCAACATGTGTCCCCTCTTCTTCATGTCTCTTCTTCATCAACATGTGTCCCCTCTTCTCCATGTCTTTTCTACATCAACATGTGTCCCCTCTTCTTCATGTCTCTTCTACATCAACATGTGTCCCCTCTTCTCCATGTCTCTTCTACATCAACATGTGTCCCCTCTTCTTCATGTCTCTTCTACATCAACATGTGTCCCCTCTTCTTCATGTCTCTTCTACATCAACATGTGTCCCCTCTTCTTCATGTCTCTTCTACATCAACATGTGTCCCCTCTGTGGAAAGAGACTCTGAAAGTTTCAGGAACAAAGATTCTCTCTCTTTTTGATCCATTTCTATAAAAACCTGTCTGAAAATGAACTGATCAGATTTTGGCCACTTTATGATGTCATAACGATGTGTTGTCTTGTGTAACCATTAGC